TAAAACTATTTTCATTTACAGTTTGTGGCAGACTGAGGCTGCCGTACAGAATGATGTTAATATCGAAGTTAACTTTTAGGATTTCAAAGCCTTGTATCAAATCAAACTGGCAGCTGACATACTTTGGACATTTTAAAAAGAAATGATTGGCTTCTTCCACCAGAGCACCACAAAGGCAGATTTTACTTTCAGATAAATTGACACGGAAAAGATCAGCATTTAAAGAGCTACATAAATATCTTTACTTAGTGTGTAGAATATTAATATTTCCTATGTTTAGTTATGGTAAACAAATATGACAATTCAATGTGAATATTTTATCGATCAGTGCTATGACGAACGTGTTATATTGAAACACAGGTATTCCTTGTTTCAAGATGTACCAGGAATATTTCCCAAAACGGAAAGACACTTTTAAAATATTTAAGTCTACATCAAACTAAATTAAGTTACTTTGGCTCTACACGCAAGGACCAGGTGAGGTGGGGTTATATCGAAAAATCAATAGGAAATTAAAAATTCATTTAATGAAATGTTCCCATGGTTTTGGTGTTTTACGCCGAACTCAGCAATATTCAGTCTATATGGCGGTGGTCTGTAAATAATCGAGGCAGGACCAGACGATCCAGTGATTAACAGCATGAGCATCGATCTACGCAATTGGGATATGATAACATGTGTCAACCAAGTCAGCGAGCCTGACCACCCGATCCCGTTAGTCGCCTCTAACCCGGACCTTCACGGGTGTTTTTCATGGAAAAGATGTACATGTACGTACATTATGTAAAACCATTGTTTTTGATCATCTAGCTACACCACGTACTGGCGTTCTTCAACATATCGGTTACATGGTATACTTGGAGTATATATAATAACAACCCACAGGCTTACCTTTGCCAATAAGATACACATTGATAAAAAACATACACCACCCGCCTCTCCATAGGTAAATCCGTGCAGGCAACTGTGTAGAGCGAAACAACGACGTTCGTCATGCCAAGTCGTAGCAGCAATGAACAGCTAGACGGTCTGTGGTTGGCTAATCTTAACAGCCGTTTTCCCCGAAACTAGGTATATTCCTTGAAACACCTTAATAATGAAACAACAGATTTGATTTCAAACACAGAGGTTTATGAAGGCTTGGTTTTCGAATCCTCCTCAGTGAACCCTCCCTGAGTTTGTGTAGAATGTTACTCTCTATACAATACTACTATATCCGGAAAAACAGTGTGTTAATCTGGCTGCATGGCAGGTATTGTGACACACACACTCGACAGACTGCAGGTGGGCCTGTTCCTGCTCCGGGGTAGTATGTATGTTACAGGGAATGTGTGAAACCAGGGATTTCACGTAATCCCTGAAAGAGTCAGTGATTTCATGAAATCACTGTAACCCCCCATGCAGGGATTTCAACTATTCTAAAATTTCAAGGGATTTCATGAAATTACTGAAATATTAGCTCAGGGATTTCATGAAATCCCTGTAAGCCTTTATTGAACAGTGTTCAGTAAAGACAGTCGATCCATTATTTGTCTGGAAACTAGATCTAGCAGCTGGTGATTGATCTAGTCACACATAGATGTGAACTTGCAATAATGTAATCAAACGTCTCTATACTTTGACTGGTAACAGGATCTAGGTTGAGGGGCATAGTTCGCTCAATTAATATACATGAGTTTGTTTAATCATACTGAAGTGTTACTGCGAGAATATCAGCCATAAATCAGTGGTTGTGAGTGAGCGTGTGAGTGGGTATGGCATTACCGGGAGAATCGAACCCGGGTCTTCGGCGTGACGAGCGAACGCATTAACCACCAGGCTACCCTGCCGCCACTACAGTGCTTATGGATTCTGCTAGATTTTACGATTTCAAGGTCATTTGATTAATTTCTCTCCTGCTACCACGTCCACCGTTTTATTGATCGAGACAGTCTTTATTTGGGGCGGTGTGATAGCCAAGTGGTTAAAGCGTTCGTCACGCCGAAGACCCGGGTTCGAATCCCCACATGGGTACAATGTGTGGAGCCCATTTCTGGTGTCCCCCGCGATGATATTGCAGGAATATTGCTAAAAGCGGTGTAAAACTAACCTCACTCACTCACTTTATGAAGCTGGCACAGCAGCCTAGGTGTTGTCAGCATGTCAATAAATACTGAGAGATAAACCGTACAGATGGTAATGTGGAACACGAAATAGTGTAATCGTACCGATAATTAATAGACTTTCTTTTGTAGGAAATGGATCTATAAGGGACTCATTTAAAATTAATGTGGTTCCAGTTGTGTTATGGTGAACAGGCACGCTTGAAAATACTGCCATTGGAGTGAGTGAGTGAGTGAGTGAGTGAGTGAGTGAGTGAGTTTAGTTTTACGCCGCACTCAGCAATATTCCAGCTATATGGCAGCGGTCTGTAAATAATCGAGACTGGACCAGACAATCCAGTGATCAACAACATGAGCATCGATCTGGGCAATTGGGAACCGATGACATGTGTCAACCAATATTCTAACCCGGACCTTCACGGGTGCTGCCATTAGAATCCACTGGGGTTACACAGGTGTATATCTCGATCTGTTCTGTAATTATCGCGGCTTACATGGGACGGTGGGGCTAAAGTGATGTAGGACCTACACGGATAAACGTCTGTACCACTTTATACTTCCCCACGAGCATGGATCATATTTGGGATTGGATCTCAAACATCTTGGAATCGTGGAGTAGCCAAGGGACGCACCTCTACACAGCAAATTGTTGGAGGGTATTCGAGGGGGCTGTCAGTTTGAACGCCATATTCTGTACGAGCTTATGTTTGATAGAAATGAATGAAACACTGGCTACAGGAGCGAGACCAAAAACACAACTTTGTAACACGCATAAGGGACCCTTCATAATGTATGTGTGTGCTGATTTTTATGCAGAAGCCTGTACATTGTGAACGACCCACCCTAAAATTTATGTACAAAGTATGTGACCCCCACTTGCATATCCTGTACAAAATCAATGACCCTCGCCCTCCCTTCCCATACTTTTTAAATAGCCTTATGTACAAAATTAATGACATCCCCAACCTCCCCGAGAACAAAATGGGATGTCCCCCAAAAACCCCCAAATAAATAAAAATAATCCCAAAAACAATAATCATCATCACCCCTAGCCATAAATAATGAACGGTCCCTAAATCAGTTAATAAACTAAATATACGACCAATACTTTATATCTAAATATCTGAATTGTTTATGCATATCAAATGCAAGTTGAACGAGACATTTTTCTTGTTCTTGTCATCACCAGAACATCGTGTAATGCTTTCAAATTTGAAACAGGACTTATAGTAGATTCTTTTCCTCAGCTCATGTCACGGATACAGCCTTTGATATACGATAAGTGTCCTTTGTTTGAATGCTGAGAAATACCATATCATCACCTATCCTTGAGTGAGTGAGTGAGTGAATAGATTCACACCATGTAGGGAATGGATCCCGCGTCTTCAGCGTGATTAGCGAACGCATAACCACAAGGCTACCATGCACCTGTATTGATTTAAGTGTTTGTTTAATAACGACCCAAAATATTAAATCAAGATTTGTTGCTTTTCTACTTGGTATTGTTAGCACATATAAAGTGATGTGACTCGCCATGTACTTCCTTAGTGAATGGTAGTCCTGTCATCCTACGTCATGTAACCTAACTTTACACAATCACAATCGACACGTGAAGATCCGGGTTAGAATTGGTCTTCAGCAACCCATGCTTGTCGTAAGAGGCGACTAACGGGATCGGGTGGTCAGGCTTGCTGACTTAGTTGACACATTTCATCGTATCCCAAATACGTAGATAGATCCTCGTGCTGTTGATCACTGGATTGTCTGGTCCAGACGCGATTATTTACAAACCGCCGTCATATAGCTGGAATAATGTTGTGCGCGGAGTTAAACAAAAAAATCCAAACACACACAATCACAATGATATAACAAACCATACTTACACGAATCCATCCACAGTGTGCTTCTGAATCTGTACGCCCCAACTGCCATGGATATTGTTAAACACCGTTGTTTCGTCACAATTTCCTTAGGAAAATTAACTTGCCGATTTCATTTGTTCCTGTTTCGCGTCACGCGTGCTACTTCCTTTCACATTTCCTAATGATGGGCTTTTGCCAAATCAATGATACTACGACACTGAAACAAGCTGCCCACATAATGTATGTTCAAAGTTGCATATGAGATGTGTGGGTGGGCGTTACCACATTGTTGGGTCTTTACCAGGACACAGTTACAGGACATTTTGTAGGTGTTTTAAGTGTATCTGTCCATGATATTGTCCCCAGTATACTGTGGGCCCATTGACAGAACCCGCTGGTGGTGGGTTCGAATCCCAGACCCGCTCCCATTACGACCCTTGGTCAGGCAACAGCATGCGAAGATGTGGTTTTGTTCTTTCTTCCAACATGAAGATGGAACCTTGGATAAAAATTACATCCTGTGAGGACAATGTGGTATGTGTCAGTATTATTCACTGTGCAACAATGTTCTAAGCGTGTAACAGAGTGCAGGAGAGGGTTTGGGGGCCTTCTCACAATATTCTGACCCAGGGCACCCGTGAAAATCCGGGTTAGAATTGATCTTCAGTAACCCATGTGGTCGTAAGAGGCGACTAACGGGATCGGGTGGTCAGGCTCGCTGCCTTGGTTGACACATGTCATCGTATCAGTTTCGTAGATCGATGTTCGTGATATCCATCACTGGATTGTCTAGTCCAGAATCGATTATTGACAGACCGTCGTCATATAGCCTTGATAGTGTTTTAAATAACAAACAAACATACACACACAGGTCATAGACAGTCTTAATTAGCTAAATTAGCCTTAATGTGCTAAAGCAGTTTTCTTGCTGTTAAGACGCAAAATTCAAACCATTTATCACTTTGATTACCTCATCAACTTCTTTACAAGATATCCATATTGCTTGCCGCCAAGAAATACAACAAAAATCACAGTATGGTTTTGTTTTTTAGTTTTTTATTTTGCAAAGGCGTTTAATTGACATGACAAATCCAAGACAGTGGAGTTTATAGAGCATTTGTACAGCTATACAAGGGAGATAACTCTGTCATCTCACTGAACACAGGCCAAGAAGGCGCGCCGTGACTGAGGTACTGGAACAAAGCTGGTTCGTCCCCAATAGGTCCAACGCGTGTCACAATATACTCGCGACAAACTGCCTCCAATATGACCTAAACATATAAACGCATAAATTTCTTGAAATTTGACACAGACCTAATATTTGTAACTGCATGGACAATCATCTGGAGGTTAAAACAGCCCTCATATTGGTAATCAAAATTCTTCACCGACACTTTTGTGAAACAAAACACTTTCATGAAATTTGACAGTGGCCAAAGATTTGTAAGTGCATGGACCTATTGTGGGACAAGCCTTATTGCATCACAAGGTATTCAGCAGTACAGACGGTGACAGAGAGTGGATGTAATGAGTTTATGACAGGCTGCACAAAACACTTCACCATCATAGTGATGACAATTACATTGTAACAATGCCACAACTTGAGCGTCAATACATTTCTTCACTAGTGACATGTGCCCTTCAACCAAAGAAAACAATCTTGGTAAAATTATCCAAGAAAAAAAGGAAACAAAAAAAATTGGTTATGACACATCTGAATGTGAATCAGATTTGGACAAAACTATTATCTGCCCTAACACAATAAAATGTTCCTGCTAACATCTCTTTGGGGACCACTAAGGAAAATGGATGACACATACTAAGAAAAGGGAACTACCTTGGTCAAGATTGGTCTATTATGCCTTGTTTGAACAATTTACAACATATCACTGATTTATGGAATGATGAAGAGTTTTAAAACAAAACCTTACTCCTAGGACTAATCACATGTTCTCTATCTTCCGGAAGTTCTTCCTACTCTATACTTTGCTCAGTGTCAGTGCATCAGCTAATGTGTTATTCTGTTACCTGAATAACAATCTGTATGGTTCAACAATATTTATGACTAAAGAGTACACTGTTTATAACATATTTGTTTTAAAAATGTAGCTACTTCTCAGGAAGAGTCTATTTATGTAAATGTTCTACCCTGTGATTATGAAACCTATCTTCACTTCATGAACATCAGCCTTCATGTGAGCAGACGTTGTGGATAAACACAACAGTTGGTTCACTGACAGCTTGAAGACATTCTGTGTTCACCTGAACATAAATTAGTGCGCAACCAAAACACTGAATTTTCTAATATAATCAATATTTCAGGCAAAACATGCTTTCCTGTAAACAGATCCTAAAATATTCCTTTATTGATATGGAGAGACTGTTTTAATGTTATTAATGACTTATGCAAAATAAACCAACTAGACGTAAAAATCTCTAATTCTTGATGTATAATTTAATCTATAATACAAAAATAACTGTAGAATTCTGAAGGAAATATCCCTTATGACAACATCAATTTAATGCATAATCAAACACTGAAGTCAAATATAAGGGCATCCACTGCTTTTTCAAATCTTAACATGGATTTAAATTCAACGTGAACAACTTCAATGTTATATTGCTATAAGGCACTGCATCTACAATTAAATGCAAATTCCTGACAATGTTCTAGAACAACTGAATTAGTAAACTCAACAACTAGAATACCATCAATTCTAACAGTCAGAGGCCTACTGAGACCAGTATTTGCTAAATCAGCAAGTATTCACATCACTTAAACAATATAGTTTTTAAACGCCAAAGGCAGAATATCTAAAACAAAGTGACCAGCATTACCAAATTTCTTTGGAACTCCTTAGGAACACAAAACGGGTTTCAATGTGCCTCTTAAATTTGTAATTTTAAACATCAGTTTAATTCATGACTCTTTCATAACTCCAAATATCTCAAATTTGGTAAAAAGATATTTGAATATGATTATGCTTGATGTTTGAATAATCCTGAATAATCTAACCAATGACAACGTTTCTATTTCAACTCAGTACATGGCTGCCTATTTCTACAGCATAAGCTCTGATGTAGCTATTTGCAGTTCACCGCAATAAACGGACAATATCTCTCTGGTTCATTAGCAATATCAAAGATGATAGTAAAGGCTGATGAAATAAAAATATAGGTTGTCAGGTAAAAGGCATAAAAATGTGCTCTTGTGACTGCTGCTTCTCAGCATAGAAAAATATCTTTAGTCCTTCAGAAAATGGAACAATCTCTTTTCCCTCACCTGAAGAATTGTTCCTCTATAATTAGGACAACTCATTAACCCTTCAAATGTTCAACAATGGAATTTTTACAACCCTAAATTGTTAAAAATCCTACTTATTATACCAGCAAATTTAAACCTTTGATCAAATCAAATGCTCTTGTCTCTTGTGAGTTATTCTGAGAACCAGGATTATTACTTTTCATCAACATTAGAATCTTCTGGTGAACAAACTTAAGAACAGTCACAACCTGACAATTGAACCCAAGGATCGGGGACTACAGAACCCAAAGATTGGTATTATCTGTGATGTTGATATCAACAGCCCTGGAGAAAAGGTTGTGAATGGATGACAGTAAATGTGTCAAGTTTATGTTACCAGTACACACTGGCACATACAGAGCATGAACTCCACGAGAAAGTGGTCACATTCCACTGCAGTGCCTTCTACAACCAAACACATACTGTTCACATCAATATTTCTTAAGTCTGTTCATCAGTATCAAACAGGTGAGTACTGGCTCAACAATAGGCTTCCACGCTAATATCTCCCCGACAGCTATTGTTTAACAATGGACAACATGAGGAAGCTGACTGGACAATACGTGTGATAATGTTGACATCGGACTAGACAACAATGCAATGGCAAGGATAATGTCATGACATTAAGACAAGTATTGAAGAGCTTACTACCGGTAAATGTCAAATATTCAGTCAATGAAACATTTTAATTAAATAAGCCATTTATATTTAATTTGAAATATTCAATATCTGTCAGCTGAAATTCTGTATTCATATTCAACAGACAAACCACAACATCATAGTTTTAATGAGAAGATTGTCATTTAAATGTATCATGAAAATAATAAATTTTCACGACTTTTAATATCATAGTCAACATCTAAATCATATATTCAAGGATTTGAAGTAGTGGTAAAGACTTAATCTAACCTATTAATTATGCCATTTAGAAAAGTTTTGCAAGATTTCCCTCAAACTCTCAATTATATATCCATTCAAGTGGAAACGTTTTCAAGAGAAAACATTGCTTTAAATCACCTGATTGTCACGTCTTGTATTATTATTCAAAATATTGGATTCTATGAAAATACAGGAGTGAGAGTATAAGGCTGTTACAGTGGTTTCCTACAGCATCAGGCTGCACCATCAGGGAAATATTTCAAATAAATAGTGGGAATCCTCCTAATATATATACTGATAAAACTGGTTGTCTAGACCTGATTCCAGGAACACCTGTCTTCGTACACAACAGAATGACTCACAGTTAAAAGGTCTGAATAGACTATTTGCATTTCCAAAATTAAAAAATCCTTCAAATATTAATCATCCAAAAAATAAAATAACATTCCTGCCAACATCTATCTTTGTGTTTTAAGTTTTTAATTTTGTTTCAAAGGTAAAGTAAAAATGTCTTTAAATAAAGACCAAAGTTTTTTTAAGACAGGTATTTGAATCACTAACATATTTGTCTAACATGACAATGAAGTATGATTATGGAACATGTAATATTACAACACTATACACAGTTCAAATGTTGAGTATGTACACTATACATACACATGACGGATAATATCATGCACAGCTTTGGCAGTTTGTGAGCAGTTGTTACACACATACTAGCTTCTAACAACTACTTACAGCTCTGACAGAAGGCAAACATCTTAACAGACTTCATGAAAAGACTAGGCAATTCAGAGTGTTGTACCTGGATAAATATTTGATTGATGTATTTAAATGCATGGTCTGGATACTCATACAAATGCAAGTTACTCTGGACTTAATTTAACGTTCAGCAAAGTCAGAAGGAAAACAGTATGTGCTCATCTTGAAGCAGACTTCATGAATAGACTAGGTACTTCATGACAATTTAGGTGGATATATATTTGATTGGAGAGTTTAAATGCATGGTCAGGGGACTTTTACAAATCAAATAACACATACCTTACTCTGGCCTTCCAACTTTCAGCAAAATTTCTTGCTGCGTTTTTTAATGTCACATCTCTTTTGAGAACCTAATTTACTAAACAGTTACTACATTTCTGGAAAACACATAGTCTTCTATTTGGTATGTAATAAAATCAAATCAGTTTGTTTCCAGATTTCATAAAAAAAACATGTCTTAATCAATACCCCCTCCCCTCTAAACGACATGGTGTATGTTATCTATTCGGACTTCTGTTGTGGACACAATAATAGCTCATGGGCTTATTAGCTCATCTGTATACTTGAATCAGTCATATGACCAATTGATTTAGTTTTTTTTATCCTATCAACTCAAAAACAAAATAAAAACTTTAAGGAGGGTGAGATATTTTTGGCCATGAGACAACTCCTAACATTTAATTTACACATTGCAGCAATTTGTTAAGTACTGTTTTATTCCCAGATGCAACTATCCACCCACATTAATAAAGTCTCTTCCTGGACTAGCTGCATTCAATATTGAGTTCTACAAATTGAATAGATTTGATAGAAACCATGCACACGAACATTTATATGTATCCATTCCAACAGAGTAACATATGTTTACAAAACGCAAATCACACAAGGCATACAATGTTTTAAGGAGCTTGTTTGTTTGAGCAAAGGACTTAAGATCCTAAAAACAGTACATCTTTGGTTGGCAAATAAATCTTAGGTAATCATACGACTGGTACATGATACGTATTAGTACCGTCCTATCATTACTTCACAACTATCAACATAGCATACTCAAGACTCATGACAGATGCCATTACACTGGTGTATCATATCTTCACATGCTACGACAAATGACAGCACATAATACCATTACATACATGGTTTACTGGTAACCATGGCAACTTATAAACAAAATGCAGATATTTTCAAAATTTGCTATAATTTGGAGATACGACACAGGTACAGATATATATGATCACAGTATGATGCATATATTTAACAATTCTGTTCGTCATTTTCAAATGTACATATATGGAGAAAGGAAAGGGAGATAATCCTTGCAAGTTAAACATTAACATACTTTTTTCATTAAGATTTAATCCATCAAGGGTTATAACATAAAATTAAGTCATAAAATTTCACTTAAGTACATTTTGATGGAATAATATCATAGTTTCTCATAGTTTGATGACTATAAAACATTTTTTTTTTACATAAAGAAGAGGCTACAATCCATACAATACATTTTTGTCATTTCATAATGACAAGTCTCTTTCTAACTGGCTAATGAAATTTTCATGAGAAATAGATGATAGTCATGACTAACACAATGTTGGCACTGACGAGAAACCAGGTAGGAAAGGCGGGATGAAGCCAAATCTTGGAAAACATTCCTCCTGTAACTATGGCAACACAACCGGTTCCACAAGTAACACAGAACACCACATCATGATGAAGAATGTCATATTTGCACAGTACGGTCATTAATGAACATCATTTAAAGAATCATGTTTGAAAAGATCATGTGCCTTATGAAAATAGAACCATATGAGATGTACAAACGAATATTCCACGTGAATTAGATCTTCCAGGTCTTGGAGATGGAATGCCCTCTGAAACACATCAAGATCAAAGCTGATTGGAAAAGGCAGATCTCCTTCTCTTCTTTCCTTGGAGACACTCTATGAAGCAAGCTTGACAAGATACTGACAGACCAGAAAACAGACTGCTGCAGACATATTGGTACACCTCCTTCATCAACAGGTCAGTTCTGTCCTACAAGAGATGCAGCAAGCAGATGTATCTCTCCATGTCTGGTAACACAGAGTAGACGTCCGTCTGCTTCCATTACAGAATAGTCTGTCCTCTGATGTCCTTAGCTGACACTTCTGTTGGTATTCATAGTAACTTCAGTCAGATGTCTCTTGTGCTGTGATGTCCAAAGATATCAAAGCTTCCACTGAACATTTCTACTGTTGTGTCCACAGATTCTGACAGTTGATGGTAACTTCTGTCCCTGCCATATATTCATAGTTATACCACTCCGACATAACATCAAAGTACAGTAGATGCCTGTATAGATGTCTGAAGTAACTTTGACCGAGGTTCTCCTGCTTTGATGTCCACACCTAAACTTAATAATTTCATTAACGTCACATGTCTGTATCACACAGTATGACCTTCAACATACCATTTGCTGTAAAGTGACCGAGCAGCTGTCTGCTACCAGGAGCCTCTAACGTGTTGTATTTGTCAACACTGGAACAAGCATTCACTGTCCACAAACTTCTCCAGAATAATAAGCATTAGTCCTCAATCTCGTGAGTCGAGCACATACTCAAGTCGAGGCAACAAGTGTCGCATGGTGTATGGATGTATGGATGATAGTAATGCAGGGATACTACCAACTCTGAGATGCGTTAATGTTGTGGTTTGGCAATGGAGTGTTCAGGTCTAGCTTGTGGAGAGCTGCCTGGCTGTGCCGGACCGGATCTGCTTTGCCTCTCCCATCAGCGTGTGCAGCATTTGACTCAGTTGATCATCATCCACCTTCAGGTCGTCTAGAACACCGTCGGTCATCGAGTTACGATCTGCAAAACACAAACAGCAGTGAGACCCAGTGACACCAACTTCAAACTTATTTTTGTCAAAAATCCTAATTTTTAGAGTAAAATTGATATTTTATACTTATCCTGACTCATGCTCTTTTCCTTTCTGCTTGTCTTCTTCTTCTTGAAGAGCACACATCAGTAAAGAACATAGTGGAACACTTGTATCTCCTTATTTGAACACTTGTATCTCCTTATTTGAAGCTCCTTCAAAATAAAATCACTAATTGGTACTCACCACGAGTTGCTCCCCTTTGTCTCCCCTGGCGGAAAAGGTGTCGCAGCCACCCTCTGGCCATGTGCTCCACTCTCTCCTGATTTAGCGAGCCCAACACTTGAATTTACAGGAAATCCAAAGTGTTATGTGGGGAGGATGGGAGGGCTAACCTCATGAGTCAGGATAAGTATAAAATATCAATTTTACTCTAAAAATTACATATTTTTCCTTATCCTGACTCATGCTCTTTTAACTTGTAGCATCCTCTGAGCGGAGGTGGGTAACAGAATACTTTGGATTTATAATTAGTGATTTTGTATAGATATACTGTAATATCCCCTCGGGAACTTCATGAAGTCTTAGATTTAGGATGTATCCTGTATAAAGAAAACCATAGGTTATATAAAGCCATTAAAGGGAATTACATTATGAATATATTGAACAATACATATAAATTATATATATATATATATAGGTGACTCTGATAGAGGCACTGAAATTGACTATATCAAGTATATGCTTAAGGTAGAATACTTAAGCTGAACATATATACATAGCCCTAAAACTCCTTAGAGTTATAAGCTAGATGAGTATGTATAAAATACATATTAATCTTGTGAGGCTAATATTTTAACGCCCTCTGAGGGACTGTCAGTTGCTGGCGAGGACCAGTGGTCGAAATGGTGAATGCCAGAGACATCTTCTGTAGTGATGTCTCTTAGGTAGTGATTAGCAAATACCATGTTAGATTTCCAATAGCATCCTTCCATAATCGTGTTCAAGGAACAGTTACCGTGTAGGGCGAGGGTAGAGGCCAGTGCCCTGATCTCATGTGGATTTGATGCTGTTGGTGGGTCCAAGCCTGCTGCCTTGTAGGCACGGAGAATGACAGTCCTTATCCAAATAGATATTGTGGTCCGTGACACTTCTGTTTGATTCGTAGGCGATAATGGGATGAATAAACGTTTGAGAAATCTTCTCCTTGTTTTGGATCGTCGTAAATAAACTTTGAGCGCTCTTACCGGACACAGTGATAGGTCTTGTGTATCTTGTGATCCGAGAATAGAGGATAGCGCCGGGATGTGGAATAATCTGTCTGGTTGACCTGGCAGTTGATTCTTTGCAATGAAATCCCATCTTAATCCGAGGTGCGCTGTGTTATGATTGTCATCAAACTGTATCCTCTCGTAATCCAGAGCGTGAATTTCAGACATTCTTGCTGCTGTGGCTAGCGATAGCAGAAACAATGTTTTCTGTGAGAGAAATTCAAAGTTTGTCGATTCCAAAGGTTCATAGACCTCACTCGTGAGGTGTTGTAACACTACATTCAGATCCCAAGCTGGGGCGTGGAACTTCCGCTTTTGGTCCTCCAATCGGAAAGCTCGTAGTAAGGCCAGTAACTCTGGAGATCTTGTCAATTTGACACCCGTTCTCATGGTGATTACAGAGCTAAGCGCGGCAAGATATGTTGATATCGTTGAACCTTTTAAATGTTTGTTTTGGCGTAGGTAACACAAATAGTCTGCCACTTGAGGTTGTGAAGCCTCTCTTGCTGTAAACCCTTTCTTTGTTGCATAATTTTCGAAACTGTGCCACTTGTCGTCGTACAAGTTACGAGTTGAGTAACGTAAGGCAAGCGTGACTGCTTTTGCCGCCCTGGCAGAATATCCTCTCTTGTTTAAACACATTTGTATACAGTCCATACGTGTAGTTGGAACATTGCTGGGTTTCCGTGCACTTGTTTGGTGTGAGGATGAATTAACAGGTTTGCGCGCTTGGGTAGCTCCAGTGTTGGTTGACCGATTTCTTGAATTAGTATGGGAAACCACGTTCTGGCCGGCCAGTAGGGCGCGACCAAAGTGAGTTGTAGGCTCTGTGTTTGTCTGATTTTCTGTAATACTTGAGGTATTATTGCTGGCGGCGGAAACGCGTACGCATTGAGGCCTTCCCATGATAGACTTAGAGCGTCCGTTGCCCAAGCTTGGGGGTCTGGGACTGGTGACACGAATGTCGGTAGCTGATTGTTGAATCGCGTGGCGAATAGGTCTATTAGCGGCGCTCCTAATTGCTTGATTATCTGTGCAAAAATTTCCCGGTTGATCATCCACTCTGTCGGTGATGGTAGATGAGGCCGAGAGAGAGCGTCTGCTAGTATATTTCTGGCTCCCGGGAATGTGCACTGCTCTGACATGTAGATTTAGATCTTGTATTAAATCGAACAGTTGAAAGCTTAGGTTCAAAAGGTTCATCGATCTCGTTGAGCCTTGCTTGTTTATGTAGAACGCCACTGTCGAATTGTCTGTATGGATCATTAGGCGCGCATTTTGTAGAAATGTGCTCCAATGTAGAATGGCGTTGATTACAGCTTTCATTTCTAGACTGTTTATATGGAGTTTGCATTCTTGCTGATTCCATAACCCTGATATCGTGTGGTTGGTGAGATGAGCTCCCCAACCTTGGAGTGACGCGTCTACATACAGATGGGTTTTGTATTCCTGCTCTGCTAAACAAATCCCTTCGCAGACATTCGATTTCTTGGTCCACCATAGTAGATGTGGTCTGAGATGTTTTCGGTAGACTGAATGGTTGTACATCGTTGAGATGTGCGTTGATGAGACCTGTAGGGGGCGTAACTGTAATCTGCCTGTGACAGTCATGTCTTGGGCTGATGTGAGAAGACCTAGTAGGCTCTGCCATTGTCGCAGTGGTAGCGGAGAGAGTAGAGCTGGTGGAATGGTCTGTTGTATCTTGAGCCAACGGTCTTCTGGTACCATAATACGGTTGCGATTTGTGATGAATCGAATACCTAGGAACTGTAGGTCTTGCGATGGTACTAGGTCCGACTTGCGTAAGTTTACTAACCAACCTAGTTGTGTTAGTAGCTTTATGATGTAATTTAACTGTAGTTTGAGGCGCAGTGGATCTTGATCTACTTGTATCCCGTCGTCGAGGTAAAGCGCACTCGTAGCCCTTTGACGATGTAGAAATTTGATAATCGGTTTCGTTATCCTCGTGAATAGCCAGGGGGCTGATGATATTCCGAATGGGAGTACTTTCCACTGGTAATGTAGCCCTTCTAGAGTAAATCGTAGGTATTTCCTGGAATCGGGATGAATGGGGATGTGCAAGTAGGCATCCTGTAGATCTATGCTGCCCATGTAGTCCATAGGACGAATCATCTGGCGTAACTGAGGTAAATGTATCATGCGAAACTTCGGTGGTTTGCGTAGATAGTTCTTGTTGAAAAAGCTCATGTTGTAGATGAGTCTGTATTTCTCCGTGGAGTTTTTCTTGGGAACTAGGAAAACTGGGGAGTAGAAACCTGGTTCGACGTTTGCTTGATCTATTACTTCTATGGCCTGTTTGGATAGGAGTGATGAGACAGCCTCTTTTATCTTTGGTAGTTGTTGCGCTTGTAAATCGAACTTGGGGGGTTTGATTGTCAGCGGAGGCTTGTCCTGTAGAGGGATACGAAATCCGTGTTGAATAATGTTGGAGACGTAAGGATCTTGCAGTATTCCCCAGTTTTCCCAGTGTAGTTGGAGCGTCCACCCACTTGAGCTGGTTGTACTGGAACGGCTGGGGGTGGAAGACTCCAGTCGTTCCGAACCTGTGTTTCAGCGTCTATAATTGCGGGAACCTCTGGGTGTCCTGCCTCTTCCTGATCCTCCTCTATAGTTGCCATATGGGCGACGAAAAGAATCTTTACCTCTAGAGCTGGCTATCTTCCTGTCTCTTGCTCTTTGTAGGCCCGTGAACTTAGATCTGCCTGAGTATCTTTGTGAAGTCTGACGAATGGCGCTGGCTAGTGTGTCCATCGATCTAATCATAAGGACTTCCCTGGAATCCTTAGAGACTTCCTTGGCGACCTTGTCGATTTCTCCGTCAAAGATGGATGTTGTCGACCACGGGGCTGTATAAAGTGGGGCTGTAAAGTTCTCCCCCCAATTACAGGAGGCGAGGAGGCCTTGACGACGAGCTAAGGTCAATGCTGCTGAAACAGATGTAAGATGATCCGTTAAAACTGCTGATCTTTCTTTTGCATAAGTAAGGCAGAATAAATCATTCTATCATCTTCCGTCGTGGAATCCGAAATCTAGTAATAAGAGTCTCATTGATGCGTCCTAGATCTATTTAACCCAAAGAACATCGTCTCGTCATGGTTTCTATATGAGCCAACTTGCGATCATCCATCTTGTAAATCTTGTTCTTTACATGGCTGATGATCTTATAGTTCTCATCGATGTCCTGGAGCCTTGTAGAAGGAGTCCATGTTATCGTGGAGAACTTCTTGGCTTGAAAGTTGGGTAGATGTGGTATCTGAACTTTCGTAGCTTTCTGGAAAGCTGCATCTAGATTCTGTGGCACTGCCGCAATCGGGTCGATCGGGGGTAGAGTGATTGCATCTGGATCATCTTCCTTCATCAAATACGTCTGAGCTGTATTGCCACTTTTAGATGGTGATGTGAGATCTAGGTTATTGACCATCCAATACCGTATCTCTGCATCAGAAAATATGATTCCTCCATCATCCTCAAAACCATCATCATTAATAAATTGTAGATGCTCTTCGGGACTGCGTGTAGCTGTCTGAATATCTGATGAGGTTTGTGGCGATCTAGTTGACTTGTCGCGCTCTATGTGGAGATCTGATGGGTGATCGACCTGGTGATGAAGCGGTGGAGATCGTCTATGGGATGATCTTCTGGAGACTTGTGAGGTGAATGTTGATAGCTTCGCGAAGCTCTTGACGTCCCTCGATGTTCTTCTAGGCGATGAAGATCTGGAATCATATGTCTTTTCGCGAATGCCTTGAAGCTTCATTTAACGTCGGTCGGGGGATCGATGATATGACCTTCGCGAAGGCTTCCGTGATGTCTGATGGTCTGAGTCCATATCTAGAGATGAAATCGAAGATGGTGATGATCTCTCCGCCTTCAGCGAAGGCCTTCCAGCGAAGGCTGTACATCTAGGTCCTTCCGTCAAGGTGGTGCGGGACTTCCTTCGCGAAGGTGACATCGTCTTGGCTGCTACGTTGGCGGGGGTGCCTCTGGGGTGCTGTCTCGTTGGAGCCTTCCTTGAAAACTTCGGACCCTGCTTGCGCGGTTTGTAGTGGTCCTCCATGATGTTCATAATCTGCGCATCATGTCTTCTGGGATGATCTGTGGCGAAGTCGTCGGCGTCTTTTCTGCGATGGGGTTCACATCAATGGCGTCTGGCGTCGGTGTAGAGCATCAGGCTGCATGGAGATCTCTGCAGAAGTCACAGTCGCTGACACGGTCGCTTCTTCTGCCGTAAGTCGGGGATGATTATCGGCTGATCATCGTAGAGGCCCAACTCTGCTGCTGGAGCGATCTCGGCTGAGAAAGTTCTTGCTGTCTTCGTAGATTTCCCTTTGGAAGTCTGCGCTGCCCTGGGTGTCCTCAATCTGCGTTGAGGCGGCGATGAGGCCCTCTTAGACTTAGTCTGCAATGGCGGGATGTCTGGGGAGGCGGTCGTTTCTCCGAGGTAACGGACTCGTCCCGTTCCTCTGCGCGGGGTCTCTAGCAGAACACCAGGCGGGAGAGGGTCGATCGCTAGCAGCTGACTGGAAGGAATATCTGGACTCTCTGCCATGTTTTGCCCTTGTTTGCGTGATCTATCTGCAGCGTCTTAAGAGCATAAAGATGATATTTATTAAATGCAGAATGAGATAAATTAATGCAGTAACTGCAGCGTGAATTAAACGCGCGGCATTAGAACAACTAGGGCATATTACATGTGGATCGGAGGCAGAAAAAGCGTAATCTACAAATCGTACAGATTTTCATGAGCGTAAAGCTAGCTGAACAATCCGCGAATACCGTGAATAAACAGTAGAAATACGATAATTAATCAATACAAATAGTAAAGGATACTAGCTATACCTCTATAGTAACCTATGAGAGGTAAAACTAAGAGATTATCAAAGGATATGTGTGTAAGGGAGACACAAGGCTCTCACATCCTGCTCACTGGGCGAAGAAGGAGAGAGTGAAGCACATGGCCAGAGGGTGGCGACACCTTTTCCCGCCAGGGGACAAAGGGGAGCAACTTCGTGGTGAGTACCAATTAGTGATTTTATTTTGAAGGGGCTTCAAATAAGGAGATACAAGTGTTCCACTATGTTAGCAAGAAGAAGAAGACAAGCAAAAGAGCATGAGTCAGGATAAGGAAAAATGATGGACCCACGATCACTGAGATAACCGGTCCCTCTTGAGTGGGCAGGTATGAGAGGCAGTGGCATCTCTTTATTCCAACACACTTCCAGCACTATCCTGAGATTGTGACATGAGACTGCAAGGTTGAGCGATGTAGACTTACCTTGGTGACACTGAGATTGTCACATGAGACTGTATGTTGAGCGATATAGACTTACCTTGGTGACACTGAGATTGTGACATGAGACTGCAAGGTTGAGCGATGTAGACTTACCTTGGTGACACTGAGATTGTGACATGAGACTGCAAGGTTGAGCGATGTCGACTTACCTTGGTGACAGATACAGTGACGAGGGGCTGCGTGACCTCCACATCCCCCGGAGATGACCAACACGCCAGCTGGAGGTTCTTGAGGACGCACCAGTACCGCCTCCACTTGGACAGGTCATCATCCTCCTGGAAACAATCAGTACAATGTATAATGTACAATGTATCAGTACAATGTATAAGTACAATGTACAATGTATCAGTACAATGCATTACCAGCATGACATACTTAAATCGCCAATATCACTGCAGGGACACCAGAAATCGTCTTCACACATTGTACCCATGTGGGGAATTGAACCTGGGTCTTTGCCTTAATAAGCAAACGCTTTAACCAGTAGGCTACCCTATCGACCTGCATAAATATGGCTTCATGCTCAATACAAACTTAATATCAATGCAGGCTAATACTGTTGATACCTCAGTTTCGACTACAGATTTATCATTCATCATCAGACTACTTGTGAGACAAATATCGTGGATATAACATGTGACATACCTGTAGATTCAGGAATCCTGTGACAGTGGGGTCTGCCAGACAGTTGGGGAGAGCAGCTAGGCGGCAACAGTAATGTCCGAACAATGGCAGCTCATGCACACTACCCTCTGGAAGAATGATTAATTTTTTGTCAAAATTTGTTTGATAAGAACAAATGTACACCTCTTAGTATTTCTGAATCATCTACGTAAAGATATGAGTAGGCTTAGGGCATGACTTTGATAGCAGACAAAATCCAATGCTTGATGCATACAATACAGACATGTTAGTTTGTTTGTTGTTTAATGCCGCACTCAACAGTATTCCAGCAATATGGCGGCGGCCTGTAAATATTCAAGCTGGACCAGACAATACATTGTAAACCAAAAGTCACTGTGTTCTTTAATCTGATTGGTTGAAAAACGTGATCAAATGGTATTTGATTCCCGGAAATTCTCTGTGTATTAATACATACAAACATCGCTCACACCATTGTATTGTTACGTCGTCAGCTGTGATGATGTCATTAAAATCATATTGTGACGTAAAGTCCCGAATGACGTCACAAATCAGCAGTTCCAGATGCTACCATGGGAGACAGCCGAAACAGTCGGCTGATGACATTTCACTGCTGTACCCGTACTCGATGTCAATGAGTGCAGACACAAAAAACGTGTGGACCGGGGTGTTATTGAATATTTGAAGCACAGGAATATTTCATTTGAAACCTCCAGCTGACGCCATCGGTTCCAAATGAATTCCCATGCTTCAAATACTCAATAACACCTGGAAATTCGCCAACACATGATGTTTATCTCCTAATTGATCAACAGCATGAGCATAGATCTATGCAATTGGGATACAATGACATGTGTCAACCAAGTCCACCGATCCCATTAGTCGCCTCTTACAACAAACGTGGGTTGCTGAAGATCAGTGTGGGAACTCGACAACCCAGAATGCATCACATCATCAACTAGAATACCCTGAGGACAAACGAAGTTACAACAAGTGTATAGGTTGTCTTACTATAAACAAAATAACAGCAACACAACAGTGATGGACACATAGAACAGGTTGACATCCTGAAAAACGGAGTCAAACCAGTCTTTAATTTGAGTGAACACACTACCCATTAGCCCAACATTTAAGAACAACTATTTCCATATTTCCCCACACACCTGCATTTGTCTCCAGCTGAAGGTCAAATGTCCTTATAGAGTCATCAACATCAGATAACTTCAGTGTTCCTTTGGCCACAAGCTCAAACTTCGGTCCTCTGTGGTGAAAGAGTAATGAAAACATATAACATCTGCAGTGTAGGAAACTGTGATCAATACAAATGATATACAGAGCATCTTGCATGTGGTTTGATAAACACTTGACATCATTGTGCCAAAAAGAACATGCATAAGATATCTTCATTAAATCAGTACAAATTGTCCAGATTTTGTGAGAAAGATAGCTATTTTGATGATATACTTACAGAACCATGTTTCCAATTATATCCGAATCATTCTGAAATAAAGGAAACAGATAATTAAATTCCATTAATATGAATCACAAATCCATTCAAAACAAGTGTACATGTACCAACACAAATAATGGGAGATAACTCTGTAAAGCTTAGCTGGACAAGCCAGTCTTTGGCCATTTTTTGATGGATAAAATAGAAAAGGACAAATTATCATCATCAGCTGCATACAGTGGAGACGGCAAAATTCATCTCATGCAAATGTTATCGAGGGCTGCCATCAGGTGAAAGGCGAGTCTAATCATCATACGAAATAAATTTGCCAACCAATTTAACTAATTTTCAGAGATAATGAAACTTTCAAAACGACACATGACAAATGTTCTCTTGGGCCCAGCCACTTGCTATATTTTTTAGTTGAAATACGTATATATAAACTAAAAATAAGAACTTTGAGTTCGTTATAAATTGTTAACTGTATGTTAAAAGTAAAGAAAGTTAATGTTTAAAGAGCAAATAGATTGTTCTGCATGACCAGGATGTGTGTGCCCAGTCAGAGGTGACTCACCAGGCCTGACAGCCTCTTCCCAACACTTCTCCCCACGGAGCCCGAGATATCGTTTATCTTCTTCCTCAGTTTCTTTGGAGTGTTTGCGATGGAGAGATCATCATGGAGCTTGTGACAATAGACCTCTACTTTACACTCAAAGTCATGGGGGATGTTGTTGCTGCAACAGAGCAAAACGGTTAAAACATGTCTATTCTGGGTGCTTGACACCAACAAATCTTAGCATGTCTCTATTCTGGGTGCTTGACACCAACAAATCTTAGCATGTATCTATTCTGGATGCTTGACACCAACAAGTCTTAGTATGTCTCTATTCTGGATGCTTGACACCAACAAATCTTAGCATGTATCTATTCTGGATGCTTGACACCAACAAATCTTAGCATGTCTCTATTCTGGATGCTTGACACCAACAAATCTTAGCATGTATCTATTCTGGGTGCTTGAAACCAACAAATCTTAGCATGTCTCTATTCTGGGTGCTCGACACCAACAAATCTTAGTATGTCTCTATTCTGGATGCTTGACACCAACAAATCTTAGCATGTCTCTATTCTGGGTGCTTGACACCAACAAATCTTAGCATGTCTCTATTCTGGGTGCTTGACACCAACAAATCTTAGCATGTCTCTATTCTGGATGCTTGACACCAACAAATCTTAGCATGTCTCTATTCTGGGTGCTTGACACCAACAAATCTTAGCATGTCTCTATTCTGGGTTGACATGACACCAACACAATCTTAGCATGTCTCTATTCTGGGTGCTTGACACCAACAAATCTTAGCATGTCTCTATTCTGGATGCTTGACACCAACAAATCTTAGCATGTCTCTATTCTGGGTGCTTGACACCAACAAATCTTAGCATGTCTCTATTCTGGGTGCTTGACACCAACAAATCTTAGCATGTCTCTATTCTGGGTGCTTGACACCAACAAATCTTAGCATGTCTCTATTCTGGGTGCTAAATCTGACCCAACTGATTTTACAGGAATCAAACTAAGGTTTTCTGCATGGACAGAAAACACTCTTACCACAACTTCTTTGAGTGTCATTTTAGAGGTTGGGAAGTCCAATACAGACAAACTTTATGGATAACAACTTCTTTATTTCTTGAGTGCGACATTCTGATACAGATTCTTGTAGCGCTGTAAAGCAGGAGTGTGCCACATATCCATATAGTTTGTCTATATTGTACTCTAACCACAAGACTAGCAGGTATCCTTACTAACAAGCAGCATGTGTTTCACTTACAATAATATCACATCATCGAACGTGATGTCTGTCATGCTCCTGTCCACGTTGCTGATCATCGTGGTGTCAAAGATCTCCGTGCCGATCTTCAGCAGGCAGAATACAGCATACCGACGGTAATCTGGGGACAGAGATAGCACACTTACTTCCCTGACCACTACACTGGTACACTGGTACAAGCACACAACAGCTTATCATCTTGTGTTCCAGTCTGCTTCAGACCAGAAACTCAGTCACGACTTTTTTCCATCTTTTCATTACATGGAAAATTCACTTATCTCTATTAATGTATGCTTTAGCACTTGGGTCTGAGTGGTCATTTGAAAATTCATGCATGAAGTAATATGCAATTATTTTGATTTCTTTACATTTCTTATTCTGTGGTTCATGGAGTTTTGCTAACCAACAATCGCTTGGTTATGATTAGTCATTATTTCTTATGCTTTTTAGTTTTTAAATAAATTTCAAAAAAAAATTTAATCATAGTATTTTAAATAACGTTTTGAGAGTTGACTTATTTTTGGTCTGCAGAATAAAGAGCCCTCTGATTTTGCCTTTTTTTAGTATTTATTTTTGCATTTTAATATTTAGGAGTCAGCAGATTAGTAAACCAAGCTATTAAAACAGCCTGAGGTTATTTATTTACTTTTGAGAAGGTTTGTACTCTTTCGAAGCAACAAACTATAAAAAATCTAAAATAGAACCAACAAGTGATAAAAATAATTTAGCTACATTGAAGTTTTTGACATGGACATATGTTCAGTATCAATCACACTGTAGGCAGTACATTTCTGGCATAGGTAAACACACCTGTCAGTGTGACTGATTGACAAGGCTGGACACCCCCCCCCCCCCCTGGGGTGAATGTGACAGCGTGTCCTCAGGGGACCCCCTCCAGCCCACTACCACACTTAAGTAGTTGTGTGGATAGTAACATTTCTAGTTTTTCCATTGGCATGGGGGCTGACACATGTGTCCCTGATGATCAATCTTGTAGGCAGATCCTAATGAAAGCTACTTAATCATTCTGAAACCATTAAGCATTAATTTGGGACGGTTAATATTTTTATTTTCCCCCCTTTGAACTTTGGATATCTCAAGGTATTGAATATTCATAATAATCTTATAGATTTTCAGGAACTACTAAAATATTTATGACACGTTTCAGTTTTCAATCACACACTTTCATGTTTTGTCCATAAATGTTCTTGTAACTAAAACAAAACCTTAGTGAATCCCTTAAATATAGGTAACATTCCTCATCCCTTTGATCTAACATATCAGCACTTTGCTGGTCTCATGATTAGACACCTGTGCCCCGTTTCACAAAGCTATCGTAGCGCTAAGGTCATCGTAACTCCCATACTTTAACTTAGACTTACAACAGTTGTAACGCTACAATCGTTTTGTGAAACAGGTCCCTGGACATTTGTTCGATGATCCCCAATTTTGGATGCATAAGAAAATAAATGTAAAAAGGTCAAAATGTCATTTTGACTCAATGTTGAAAATTATAAAAATATAGTTTCTAATGCAATGTGAATAAGCAGAAAATTAAAAAAGCATTGTAAAATGCATAATAACTCCTTTTATAATATTTTTTCGGTATGTGAAATATTAAAGCCTGAACCAGCCTTCTATGACAAACCCGTACATTTTACCCGGCTTAGTGTTATCAATTTATCAGTGAGAGCCACACTATGAGTGTCAAGGTCAGTGACAAAGGGTTGTTATGTTGAGAGTTGCTATACCTCCTTTATTCTTGAAGTGGTCACTATCCTTCCACATAAGTGGTATCCGCACATCTGAAACAGGAAGTGGCAACATGAAGAGTGGTACAAATGTGTTCGTGCAGATTGACACTAACTTCGGATAACACGCTTTACTGATGATAATGATTCAAATAACATCTGACATGCAGACTAAGGACACCATTGAACTACTGATGCACCCTGACAGATTATCTCAAAGTATTGAGTGGACGTTGGGTAGCCTAGTGGTTAAAGCATATGCTTGTAATGCTGAAGACCCAGGTTCGATTCCGCTCATGGGTACAATGTGTGAAGCCCATTTCTGGTGTCCCCCCACCATGATATTGGTGGAATATTGCTAAAAACGGCATAAAACCAGTCACAAAATAAAATTCAGCAACTGTACATGTTTCTAAAATATAGATATTTTGAATTAGCACAAATTCATAATGGTCAAAGAGCTTCAACACAAGCTATCCATAGAAATTTCTAAAATGTGGAGGGCTTCCCAATTTTATCATCATTAAAATGGCAACAAAAATGATTTAGCTTCTATGACTGCAGTAAAAGAGATTTCATGCAATAAATGTAAATACAATGTATATACAAAAATATTTCATTTACCAAAAAATAATGGAAGCAAAGTTAAGAACATATCACTAGAATGTTTAACAAACAATTGACATAATTCTTAAAAACACCCACTAGGCATGGTATTTTTGGTCACAAATGCAAAATATATCAACCATAAAATTTTTTTGCTGTGGTTTGTGCATGTTTCTTCTCTATAAGTATTCTAACTTTACTACATAGCATATGCACCTGTCAATGTAGGAACATAGAATTCAATCAAATCATTACGCATATATTTTGCTTTTTGTCTGTTCTTATCTCATTATTTGTTTGTCTTCAAGTATTCAGTGATATATGTTCAAAACAGGACACTGGTTGACAACCAGCTGAAACTGGGAGAACGTTATGGAAACATCATCAGTTTTGACACATCTACACCACAAGGTCGGCTTGACCTACAGTGTACTCGTAGGCATGGAAGTCTGCCTCAAATGGCAGGAGAGTTATCATGACACTTCTACACAACTTTAATTAATCTGCTTTCACAACACTTGCACAATGAGCTACAACATTTGAAGGAACTGACACCTCGAGCCGATCTTGTTTCAAGCCAGACTCTGTGACTCCTCTTAAATATAATTGGATATGAAACTCGTTCTTTCAAAATTTAAAATGAATAATAAAAACTGCTTGTAAGAAGTTTATTATCTTATCAGCAGCATGGAATTCACTTTTCAAACTGTAAACCTGGAGTTTCTTGTGATTTGTCAATTTTAATCCAGTAATTATCTCTAAGACATAATTAAAGATGGCTGCCGCTGATTCCGAGTCCAGTCAAAAGCCTGTTGCATGTCATAAGTACTCTATGTTCTGGGTGGCCAGTGAAAAGAAGACTTTCGGGATCAGTTATCTGACATCAGCCAGCTTCTTCTGGGGCATATACAGTTCCCTATTTTCAGATCTTCTCAGTAACACATAGCCCCGGTTAACGAGATCCAAATTCTATGAAGCGGGTTCCAACGCAGCAGATTGGTTTGTATCAGGCTATCTGCCACCCAATCAGCCCAGATTAGATATTTCTTTACGGAGTCTTTGACTTGATGCTTTCTTGATGTGTTTTCTCCCAATTACTGATTTAGGACAATCGCACAGCTTTATAGCTGCAAGCTGAACACAAAGCCGTGTCGTCATTTAATGACAAGTCATATAACAGTGTACCACAGGACCTTGTTACCCCAAAGCTGACTTCTTTGACTGTGGTCTTATTTACTTAAGAAAGTACGGATATAACAGCTTTCTTCAGTTATTTGACTTGTTATAAAAAAAATTGGAACTCTTTAATGCCAACAACAACAGAAATCTGTGATCCTTTTCTGGTTTGTTTGTTGTTTAACGCCACACTCAGCAATATTCCAGCTATATGATGGCCATCTGTAAATAATCGAGTCTGGACCAGACAATCCAGTGATCAACAGCATGAGCATCGATCTACACAATTGCGATACAATGACATGTGTCAACCAATTGACTGAATCAGGTTTGTCATAGGATTATGACTGACTGACTGACTTTGGTTTTACGCCGCTTTTAGCAATATTCCAGCAACATCACGGCGGGGGACACAAGAAATGGGCTTCACACAATGTACCCATGTGGGGATTCGAACCGGGTCTTCGGCGTGATAAGCCAACGCTTTAACCATTAGGCTACCCACACCACCCCATAGGATTATGAAGAACAATCCTTAAGGATTAGCATTACCATTTAGCAATCCCTCACCATCTTGTAAACGATCAAACCAAACTGTAAGGAATCTCTATCAGCATCCAGTACTGAGATGGAAAATGTCCATGTTGGTTCACATTTCCCTCTATATATTATAGAATATATATCATTCACAATACAGAATTATTGAGATAACATCCATGCTGAAGGGGTATAATAACTACAGTTACTACAACTGAAGAAGTTATTGTTTCATTGAAGTTAGAATAATCGCTTGAGCACAGAAAACATATTTAACTTCTTGTGTATGATGTATATGAATGTAGGACAAAAAGTAACAGGAAAAAAAATATTTTATTCAGAATTCCAAAACAACCAAAACGCACCAGTACACCACCAGATCTATCTATGAAATAGTGAATGGTTTTAGAGTTCTGCTACGAAAAGAGCACAACCAACAATTTCAGTCTATAAAATTGTATAAACATATACAAACACTTAATTAGGATTGGGATGAGCTTTGATCATCTTCTTATTTAAGTTGTTGCTGTTACTTGCTGTTACTGAGCAACTTCTCACCTAGTCAGCTCACTTGATCGTATAAACAACTTTGTTAGGTAAACTTTCTCCCAGTTGATGACGCGAGGGAGGGTATGGATCATCTGGAGGACATTGTCCCTGAAGATGCCGAGGAACTACTCACCTACTTTGACGAGAACTATGTGACTGGCACCTACAGACACATTAGACTCAATAAGAACAACACTTAGTTAGAAATAAACTTGCTGTTACTGACTTTGTTCATTGAAATAAAACTTTCTCCCAGTTGATGACGCGAAGGGTATGGATCATCTGGAACATTGTCCCTGAAGAAACTGAAAAGAACTTGTGACTGGCACCTACAGACACATTAGACTCAATAAGAACAATTTAGTTAGAACTAAACTACTTTGTTCATAAATAAAATACAAAGAACTAAAAAAGTGTTTATTGTTTTCCTGTTAACTTTTTTTCCGTTTCTTTTTTTCCTGTTACTTTTTTTTCCCGATCACCGATGTAGATAGATGTCCCTTCCTTCAATATCCTAAGCAAACATGGTTTATGAAGGCGAATACGGTATGTTGGTTCAGCACATCATTCCACAAAGAGGTAGTTTTTCCGATGTTATCAGTAAGGTTTTACAGTGCTGTTAAGCACAATTCCAGCTCCATTGGAAACAACAACAAAAACGTCTTCTTTGTATCCCTTGAGGGGAATCATAATTCAAATCTGAGTCTTACAGCATGTTGAAGTAACATTAAACCCACTAGACCACCACCCACTGTATTTCAGCAATGTCAGATGAGGTAAAATGGGATTTGACCCTGCATTCAAGATTACACAGAATATTTTACATGGTCATGCCTGTGTGTGTGTCTGCTACGAATACATGTAATTTCGAGTTCTGCTGTTTTATAGTGTGAGCCCACTTGCTACCATGCCACACTTTAACATGGTGGCCTAGTCTGTCTCACAGTCCCTGAACCACATTATTTTCCCTACTGCAAAGCCCTATCTGCAGTGCTGAAGCCCTAAATAAAGCAAGTCTAGATTTCGTCAGGTTCAGGTTCTGAATCTCTGGTCTCCCTGGGGCTCCTTTTCAATTTAAATGGGCTTGTTTGCTACTATCAAAAGTATATATATTCAGAGACTAAGCGTTAGTCTACATGGTGGTCCTACCTTGACACAATATACTGACTGAACAGACCAGTCCTTGTTTCCTTAATGCAGAGTGTCAGGCTGGGCAAGAACAGGTACTAATGATCTTTTAATGTCGTAATGTATGATGTGAATAGGCGATAGAGCCGCCAACCTTCTGCCCTCTTGGCAGACACTATCCATTAGTTAACTGTGCAGACTGTCTTTAACAGGGTTGGTAACTTTAACAGGGTTTTACTTAGTCCTACAAAATAAGGGCCCAGGGAAGCCCCAATATATAATTTTAAGGGACCTTAAAAGAAATAAGGGCCCTGTAAGGTAATGAAATAGTGAAATGGACTGTGAACCATAACTTTAAATAGGAACCATTAATATTATACATTCATAACCAGGATGTAATATCCAACATTCTGCACCTATTCTATACATTTGTGCATACCAAACGCATATTTCTGTGTCATGTAAACACATATTCTTTTATCCTTAACCCTGTGAAACTAATTTTATGTTTTGTATAGCATTGTGAGTACCACAACATCACTTCAATACATTAACACCAAAAAGAGTATTTGAGAAAAACAATACCCGAAGAAACTTAGCATTACTTGAAAGTTTCTTAAATATACCCAGCACAGGGACAAATAAGTAACCGACCCGTGAAGGTCCGGCTTAGAATATTAGATCTTCAGTAACCCATGCTTGTCGTAAGAGGCGACTAACGGGATCGGGTAGTCAGGCTCACTGGCTTGGTTGACACGTCATCACATATCCCAATTACGCAGATCGATGCTCCTGCTGATGATCACTGGATTGTCTGGTCCAGACTCGATTATTTACAGACCGCTGCCATATAGATGGAGTATTGCTGAGTGCAGCGTAAAACTAAACTCACTCACAAATAAGTAACCAGGCTTTAAAATAATCGCTGATGAGAGTAGATTTTCTGAGATGATTAAAGCCAGAGAACAAACACAAAGATATATTTGTACCATACTCATATTGGTCATGAGACTGATGACATTTGGTGCAGGTAAACAGTGATCATTATAATGTCCTCTCTCATCAAGCCGCAATGTCTGGACATAACATCAAGGGGATTTCTTCAGCGGTAAACTTATGGGTGAAAAGCTAAACAGTCGGGTGAGGAGCCAAACAGTCGTGAAAACTGTATCATTAAAGCAGCTTATCTCACAAGCCTTCCAGGAACTTTATCAGTGACTGGAGAAAAGCAAGGCAGACATTTTGAATTATAGGACAGGTTTTGTTTTATCTCTAAGACGAGCTTAATCATCAGAGCTGGTGTTGCTAATGCATCTGAGATCTTATATAAGTTGGCAAAATAGGTACAGGTTTTTAACAAGGAGTAACGAAAAAAAATCTAATTTGAATCAACCAATTTCACATTATGATCAAAATCTTTCTGGCAAAGAGTGAGTCAGACTTGTGTTTCTATGGGGTTTAAACAGCATTCAAAGCAGACTTATGAACCGTCTCTATGAACCGTTGAAAATGAGTCCTTGTGAGATGGGATGTTCAGACCCGAGAAATACTCCTGACTTCCTTCGTTTATGGACTATGCGTTACAGAAAGGGAAAGGACTGGTGGAAGGTAGATTGCTCATGGGCTGTCAGAAAGAGTAAGTACTTCAGTTTATCTTGACATTTAAGTTGAGAGAAGATACCAAAATAAAGCAAGTCTTAGACGCTTACAGCACTGGTATACTGCTCACAAACCAGTGAGTCAGTTGGGTTTTACGCAGCTTTTAGCAATATTCCAGCAATATCACGGTGGGGGACACCAGAAATGGGCTTCATACATTGTACCCATGTGGGGAATCAAACCGGGTCTTCGAAGTGACGAGCCAACGCTTTAACCACTAGGCTACCCCACCACCCCGCTCACAAACCAAGAATCGTAATTGGGTAATCCACTGCCATCGGATTGTGACAATGCTAAGGGATATAACTCTGCACAGCAGATTGTGACTGGATGGGTGGGTGTCTGGAATAGCTGTGTGGTTCAGAAATTAAGCCTGGAGAAGCCAAACCATTGACAGATGGGGGGAGTTTGGCTCCCTACAGTGGTCAGGTAAGGCAAAGGTTTCATAGAAGTTCTGGACTTACCTGAGACACTAACTTTAGCTGTGCATGGCAGCTGGTTGCCTTCCACCGATCTGAAGAAATTAATTACGTCGTTAATCAATCATTTCAACAGAGGATTAGTCAAGAGCATTAATGTTGTACATATGGAGTTACAATGGTAAAATACAACATAAAATTCTGATCCTGATAACTCAAAACTACCATTACCATTAGAACAAAAGGAGTAAATATTGACTTGTAATTAAAGACAGTATTATACCAGTCAACTTCAGACAATCTCCCAGACAATTTGAACATATGATCAGGGCATTTGAAGAAATGTTTTTTTCACACTCACTGATTTTTGCCGAGCACCTCGTCTGTTTTGCGTTTCTGCAGCTCATGCATGTACGCGTATATCCTCGTGTTGGAAGTGAGGAGGTTCTTGGCCGCCTCCAGCATCTGGGCAGGGTGTTTGGATGCAGCCAGCAACTTGGCTGTCCCCTCACGCATCTTCATCTCATGGTCTATCTTCTGCTTCAGATCGTGATCCTGCAACACAAATGGACACTTAGTATGCTTGAGTGTTATGAGCTATAGAAAGTTCTTTTTCTATCAAGAAGGACCTAAATTACAGTCACATCTTGGCCAAACAACATAGTGGTTGATAGTATGATCAACGTTTATACTGTCGAGGTACAATCCAATAACTACCAGATCCACATAAATTGCCTCCTAAAGACAACCAATAGAGTGCTCGGGACCAACCAGTATTTAAACCCTTGTTCTGACCCAGTATCAAGTTCTGTGATGCAATAGCAATGGGTGACTTTCCCAAAATATTAGAGTACATAATTTGATATGTTCAGTTATTTCTAAGAGAGTAAAACTTTATACTGACTGACTGACTTTTGGTTTTACGCCGCTTTTAGCAATATTCCAGCAACATCACGGCAGGGGACACCAGAAATGGGCTTCACACATTGTACCCATGTTGGGATTCGAACCCGGGCCTTCGGCGTGACGAGCCAACGCTTTAACCACTAGGCTACCCCACCACCCCCTCAAACTTTATACAGGATAAGGAGTGGATATTGTTCATGGAGGTAAAACCAGTACACAACTCAACATGTTCCAGGTGATAACACTCAACAGTGGACCACTCTCACTACAATTTGTTACAGCAGGTTGTGCTGCAACTTTATGAGGCTGCCATACATTACAACTATTCAGTTTTTGTGCATTGCATTGTGATGTGAATGCATAAAGTTATTGCGACCTTACGAGGTTACGAACAACTGGTTTTGCACATTGTAACCATGTGGGCCATGGCACTATAACGACGCACAAGTTCCAGATTTGACATGATGCTGTACAGATGATGATGTGACATCAGCCATTGACACTAATGTTAACCTTTTCTCATTAAATGGTATGAGAGGATCAGAACATGTAGTAAACATATTTCAATCAAGATATGTTTTTACATCATTCTGACCCACATTCGAGCAATTATTAAAAATTCCATTTTGTTTCATATCAGTACCCAAAGGCAAAATTATGAGAGAAATGTTCTGTAAACCAGCTAACTGATAGGTTTGGGTTTGGTTGTTGTTTAACGCAGAACTCAGCAATATTCCTGCTGTATGTCAATAATTGAGTCTGGACCAGACAATCCAGTGATCAACAGCATGACCATAGATCTACGCAATTGGGATATGATGACATGTGTCAACCAAGTCATCGAGCCTGACCACCCGATCCACTCGTAGATATACGAGTCAATATGCAAATTTTTATTTTGGCAATTTACAAAATGTTATAGCTAGTTTACAAATGGACTGAAAATCAGTCCGAAGAAAGACTGAATCAGGCTGAAAATCAGCTCATTTATTTTTTCACAATAACAAATTCCAAATACTTTAAATTTTAATTTCATCACCAAATATTTAGAGGATTCATAAATTGCCTGTGATTGAAAATTTACACACTGACGTATAGCCGTGGGGTTACTACAGGGTCCCCCTGGCCAATTAGAACAAGCCCAACAAGCAGAACAGCCTATTCATGTTCCTACCAGTCAGTATGCAAAATAGTTTCCAGTGAGTGAGTGAGTGTGGTTTTACTCCGCTTTTAGCAATGTTCCAACAATATCACGGCTGGGGACACCAGAAATGGGCTTCACACCTTGTACCCATGCGGGGAATCGAACCCGGGTTTTCGGCGCGACAAGCGAATGCTTTAACTACTAGGCTACCCCAATGCCCCCAAAATAGTTTCCAAATTTAGCTATGCCTGAAAATTACTAGCCCACAATATAATTCACTGGCCCAAAAATTTGAATGTGGAAACTAAGCAAAAGAACAGAAATAAATGAGAATAAGATATTGTTGGCATGAGCCGGGTTTCATCATTAAGCTGCTAATATGATGAACATTTTTATGAGGCCAAATCTGCGTGTTGTAAAAGTGTATCATAACTTAACTAAACGGAGAGAGTGATATATTTACAAAATGACCCCATGAAAATTCACTAGCCAGTGGGGCCAGTGATTGTGGGGATTTACTGGGCCGGCTGGATTTTTACAAGCCACGAGCTAGCGAGCCAGTGGCTATTTTGCACACTGCTCACAGTGTACATCAATATTCAAGCGAGGTGACTGGGGTAACTAGAGACTAAGGCTTAGTCTCTGAATATATATAATTTTGATAGTAACAAACAAGCCCATTTATATTGAAAAGGAGCCCTAGGGAGACCAGAGATTCAGAACCTGAGGAAATCTAGACTTGCTTTATTTAGGGCTTTAGCACTGCAGATAGGGCTTGGCAGTAGGGAAATTAATGTGGTTCAGGGACTGTGAGACAGACTAGGGTAACTACACAGTGTCCTCCTAGTCCACTAGAACAAGCCCAACAAGTACAACAGCCTGTTGTTTCATGGTCCTCCCAGTGTATATCAATATTCAGGAGATGTTGTGTGTGTCAACACCCAGGTGTAACAGCCTCCAGCCAGACTAATCAGTGGTATCAGGTGTAAATACCCTTTCATCCCTGGACAGTAGACAGGACAGGCAAGAATGACCACCACTAATGACCAGTGTTTTGCCTAGCAGGTGCCCCTCCCTGTAATAAGGGTTGGTCTAAGCTGTCATTGTTGTACTGGGTACTGGTATAATCTCAGTGCTGATTAGATTGTGAGTAGATGGTGTCAGATCAGGCAAACAGGAAACTTACAGGATCCGGTTACTGTTTGTTTACTTTGTTCAATGCACAATAAACTTTGAACACCATCCAGTGTGCATATCAACAATTCATTTGCTTATTATACAATGTTTCTAACACTATATTTACATTTTGAAACACCAAGGAGTTTTGGTTTAAACATATTTATTTCATGAAAAAAGCAACGACAGAATTTTCATGAACTGGATTGGTCAAAAAGAACTTATATGAAGACTGCTCCAATATACATAGATATATGAAACAGTTTCATGACAAGAAAAGATGATATCTAAAATGAAAGTAGATGATATGACATGTAGTCGGAAAATTAAAATCATGATGGTTGTATACATTTAAGGAGTTTTGATGTTGAACTGTACAGAGGACATACTCCAGTGTTCACGAATAGCGTCTGACCCTCTGACATATCTGGTGGATTCCCAACGGGTCTGACAGACGTCTACAACCCACCGGCCCCAGTGTTGGACTGTATATTTCACAATGACTTTGACTGAAGTTGTTATATGTGACATGTGACACTTGTTTGCAGTTTATAAATCTTATGTTTGATGATAATTTCAATGCCAATTATAACAAATATTAAATCTGAAAAGTGTGTATAATTTTATTCTGTGGGTCCTGTGAATTTTCAATGGGTCAGACAGACATCTGAAACTTACAGGACCCATGTCCTGTTACTTGGAAACACCATTCGTGAACACTGATACTCACTGAAATCACTGAGGACAAACTTACTTTACACAGCATTTGTTGGTACCTTTCACAAGGAATAAATTTACATTTTCACTTCATTTGAATAAATACTTAAATTTAACTAACACTGAAGTTTTGAGAAAATATATTCCTACCGATAAGAGGACTGGACGGCTCTTGGTTGGTCCTCGGAATTTGCATACAAAATGAAAAACTTCATCGTCATCATCTGAACTGCTGTACGACATGATGACAGCCCAAGGACAGCAGAACAGTGTTGGTTTACAATGTCCTCATAAGTTAAACCATTTCCTTCATATAATCCGATGACCACCGATAAATCCACAAATTGCAACAGAATCAAAATCCAGAGATGTCTTCAATATACAGACCGGTAGAGATATAATGTTGTGTATCATATCAAATATTCACAGTCAAACAAAGCACATCCGACCCAACTGGAGTGAAGGAAATCACAACTCCACCTGATGGTATCATAAGTTGTGACCAGAATAACGTCATGGGACAGCTCACTGCACACTCTCATTGGCTTGAGGGACTCTGCCAAACTGTCAATCACTGAATAGCATTGTCTTTAACCTTGACAACATTAAAAATATTAAGTGAATTAGGCTGGTATCCCATTGACATGATGTGGTTGATAAAGTCCAGGTGGAGAAATAGTCCAACAATCACCAGCTGTGTAATTCACGTCACGGTCTGAGCATCACTTCCTGTGTAGCAATGGACTACTCCCAGTAGGAATTTATGCTTCACTGACCAACTCCTTCACATTTCTGATACAGACCAAGCCTTATACAGGAGATACAATAAAACTGAACTCAATAACCAATTAAATTGAAAAAGAAATATCCTACCCAAAATTCAACCGAAAAGAGTAAGCTTCATGGGCTAAAATTAACACTATATTTAGAATTTGACAATACTCTTAAAACAATTAGCACAAATTTTCATCAAATCTGAAAAACATCTGTATTTTCCTTTAAATTATGTTAAATAAACAAGACTAAGCGAAATGATTTTATGAAATGAAAAAGTCATAATTTCAGAGAAGAGAATCGAAGTCCACAGCAGCATTTATCAATGTTGTCATTCCTAACTGTAATATGGCAGCCTGCCTACTTCACTGACAAACTCCAGTAATTGACAAACAGGTCCCTCATTGCCTGCTGTGAAATGCTCCAGCATGTATAGCACCTGTAATCTGGTTAGTAGCATAAGTAAGCCAGTAAGTAACCCTCGTTATCACCTGTCTCAGTGACCAGTTCAACTTTGACCCAGCACATGACTTGTCACATGACCTTGGCCCCAACAGGAGGGAAGACTACTGCAGACCCCAAGTACTCTGGTATTGCATACAGGAATGGTATAAAACCAGTTATCCAATATAGCTTAATTTCATACAAAATACTGTATCACTGGTTTAACACATGGATAAAAATCCAATATGAAAAATCAATACTCACAGGGAAATATGAAGATAAAGCTATTTTCTGACAGAGACTGTTCTATGTTCTCATGTAATTTATTTTATTTCATGATTTCTATAATTAGGTCAATATAAACTATAATTTGGATTAGAGATGTGAACTTATT